GAGTTTGGCTCTGGTAAAGAAGACAGGGATCCCTTCCGGCTCCACCGGTCTTGTACCCATAGCGGACAGGGAGCAGTAGCTTAGGACCCTAAAATTACAAACAAAAAAAAACGCCTAGTCCCGGATGAAATTACAGCACCTTTTTCCTAGGTGTAATTAGAGGGGCTCAGATGCTCCCAGAATGGGTGCAGGGAACAAAATCTATCCCAAAAAAAACCCTGACCGAGCTCCCTCCCATCGACCTGAAAGCTCTTAGTAAAAACCTCCGATCTCTCTAGCCCACCCAAATTTTGAGAGAATCCCATCTGGCGCTCCTGTACATACAAAGTTCATGATGATGGGCATGAAGCATCACCGCCAAACCAAACGAGGCTTATTATCCTGATAATTAATAGATCTCTTGCTAGATATCATATTGAGAGGCTGGTTACAGCCTCGACACACTCCGTAGCTTAGTCTGGACCCTACATTTTTGTTCGAGAAGCAGGGGCCTTCAGCTAGTCAGTGCGGTAACGCCTGACGTCTTTTAGCCAATCGGGTGCAGTTTGGTAGATAAGGATCCGGCCAACTCTAACTAGACGATAAGTAGTATAAATAAACTTACGAAGCCTCAGGCGCCAGCGATTGACAACGGCAAGGGCGTTGGAGCATTGGACCTGGGCTCCCTTTAGCACATTAAACTTCCACGGTAAGGGTTACCTCAATAATATGGGCATGGCCGGGGTGTTCCTCGGATTTTTCAGCAGGGCGAAGTTGATGTTCTGAGTTGCACTTTAGCTGACCTGATCCCGCCCAACGTTGAGACCAAGCCTGATGTGTACCAAGCTTGCAACAAAGTAAGACATATGGCATTTTTTCCTTAAAGCAAGCTAGTCGTAAATGATGAGCACTGGAAATATTCCAGAGTTAGACTTGGGGACAGTTCCGACTCAGTGTTTGAAGACCAAGTAATCTTTGGGGGGGGGGGGGGGGAAATGGGATATGCTTAGTATGGTGGGTAAACTAAGATTTTCAATTATCCTAATTTAGCACCATGAGGCCCATGCAGAGAGGTCAAGACTGAACACTTGTACGCGGTGTCTTCTACGAACCTGGGAGTGAAATTTTCTCCCAGAGCCAAGTTCAGTCAAGTTTCGCAATATCAAAGAAATTGGCCCACGAGGCAACCATTCAAATTACTCAACCACGTCAAATTTTCACTCCCAACGAGTTGGACTCCAACCCTAAGTCTCATCAAGTCTACAAGTACGACCTAGTACATCCTCATTGTCATGACCACGCCTCTCGTCAAGTCAGTCTCAGGCCTCAAGTGGCATCCATACACACGCCCACAAGAATATGGATGACCGCCGGAGGTCCAAATTGTGGCGCACAAATCTGGGAGGTAGACCTTCGGAATGGGCGCGAGAGATAGTTGGACAGATGGACAAGATGATAGTAGGGATGGATACAACCTTGGAAGGAGTGGGATACGATTTGTGGAAAACAGTTTTTCAAACTGAGCTTTGTGCGCTACACGAGTGCAATTGCGAGAGCGCATGTTACACTATAAACACTGCTATACTTGGATAGTGCCGCGAAACATCATCTAGGCCGGTCTCCCAAGTAAGGTCTAGAGAATTTTCACTAACAACTCACTCGGGTCAGGAAATCGCTGGTTTGAATCCAGTAAAACACAACCACACTTCCCATAGTGCTGGTATACATAGATGACAAAGGCATGCTTGGATAGTTAAAGGTTTTGAAACTTCCCTATGGTGGGTACTTGTGGAGAAGAACCGACTGTTTATTTAAGTATACCTCGTAAAAGTATTCGTGAACGAAATCCAGAGTACGAGTGTCTCTAACGCCAAAAGAGGCATTCAACATGCGGACATATCACTAATCATGTGTCATGTGTCATGGCTAGATAACTGAATACACTTATATGGTTCAAAATAATAATTATCCCAAACCTTTCTGTATATATTCTTTGGTTTTCAAATTTGTCCTTCAGAAAGCGTAGCTACACTGTGGTACTATCCATGTAAGCCAATCACATCCTCTCTATCGACCTCAAGATTTTTCGCCCTGTTCCTCTCCCTAAGCAGCATTTCGACTGCTATTGATATCTGGAACTACTGTACCCATCAATGATTAGGGACCTATTTTGCAATTCTTTTGATGTCGTCGCGATTAGTTATTGTGGCTTCGAAGGAGGGATCCTTGGCTTCTTTCCAAACCTCTCCTATTATTTGACCATTGAGAGCACGATATAATAGTATGTGCGGCGTTCTGCGATTGATAACCGCATAGACAGCTTGGTCTGAAGACTCCTGATAACTCTCTTCTTTGTAACTACGCGTTGAGCTACTGGTGCTCGCTTCAAATTTACATTGCTAGACTGCCTTGGGCCCCATCAAGTTACAGTGAAGAGAAAGTGACGATTCCTCGAGACTTGTTTTCCAAAGTTTTGACTGTCGGCTTGGATGGAACCTAACTCCTCTTCAGGTCTTAAGCTCGGCGATAGCAGGTTGGCGAGGCTCTTGGACCCGCTTTTAGGTTGAACGGGATTTCGCCCATTCTCAGTGCGCTGTAACTCTCCCCGACTCTTCCTGCGTCTTTCTGTTATCTTTTAGAATAGGCCTCCTATAAAATTTCCACCCAGTGTACCAGATCTAGCCCCCCATTGTTTGCATGAAAGTCTAATCTTCCTTGTCTAGATAGCTTGATCTCACGACAGGATGATTATATGATCTTTTGAACTGGTAGGTTCTTTGGGCAGTCAAAATATTAATAGCTTTGCTAAATCAGATAGATTTTTATTGCCAAGCTAGCAGTTTCGTGTTTGAGCACTCTCGTGCTGGTCAACTTGTAGGCTTTGTGACAATTTTTGGGCAGTTTCGTTGATGCTTCGATGAGGTTTTACTAACCTTTCAAGCATTCTACCATCTGGTCCACTTCGATATTCTTTTTTGTCTCATGTTGTAAAGCAATCTTTCCTATGACCCGTTGCAAAATGCTCCTAATATATCAAGACTGAGAAGGATTGCCACTCGTTTTTTTGTCTTTAACTCAAATCTCCTTGATTTCTTTTGTTAGAAGCTCCACTGCATAAACTATAGATTTTATTGGCCTAGCCCCCATGTATTCATCGGGGAAAAGGTTGAGGTTTTCTGCTGCATTGGAAAGAAGAAGAGCCACCAGCTTTTCCAGGAGCTTCCCAATTAGTTTTTATTGTTTTGACATTAAGTGGAGTTTTTTAATCATTAATTCTTGATAATTCTAAATTATATTACTGTCCTTTTGTCGGTCTGTGACCACATAAGATAGACAGATCCTCTTAGTCTAGAGATCAAGGATTCTTAACATTTCTCCTTTGTTATCAATCCGTATAAACATACCGTTTAGTAGTAGCTCATATCGATACTCAGGATTGCGATGGATAGCAAAGATTATGCTGTCAATGGCTGTGCTGGGATTGGTAATAATGGACAGGGATATGACATGTGTATTTATGTATCGCGCACTTGACTCAGACCAAACCAGGACCTTTCAGACTATATTTTCGATGCCGATACCTCCTCTGAGTTAATCAACCCTATGTAAATTGGTCTCATCACTTACCTAATGTAATTTTGCACTTTTATCTTCAACGACACGTCATGTTATTTTTCGTCTTGCTGCCTATCATCAAGCTCAGAGTTATGGAAAGATTATTTCTCAGACAATGATACCCATAGTGTAGTATTCCACGTCCTATGCCTATAAAATAGCTCCCCTCAAGTAGAACTGTTCCTCACAAGTCCTCATTTGACTGTACATTTAGAAGAGCCCTTTACCCTTCATTATCTCACCTCTCCAGCCAAGAAAACTTAAGCCGATTTCGGGTGTATGACATCGTGAAAAATCGTCAAAGTCACTGGATGCGGGGCTCTGTTGACCCTGACATGCAGACTAAATCCGAAGACATAACTACCACTATGAAGCGTTCGAAGAGACCGGCAAGCTAGGTGCTACAGACATGTATATACCTGGGAGTGCCTATCGATCTTCCATGCCTCATGACTCTTTCCCAGGTTAATGCTGAAGGATAGACTGAAGGTTGTGTAAGGATGGTCGAAAAGTCCTGGTTGTTAGTGAACATCGAGAGGAATCCTAGCTCAGAAAGTGTGGATTTATCTTTGTAGTAAGTGCTGGTATCAGTTTAAGGGAGAATCTCATGATATTTGGAAATTTCCTCACCTCATACACACCCATACATATCCATTGTTTGTATGTTTGGAGAAGGGAAATGATGGGCAAAGGGCTCCTCTGAGTGTAGGATCCAGTGAGGACTTGTAAGGGGTTGCACTATTATAAACGAGCTGTAAAGGAGGCAAAGGGAAGGGAGATACTACTGGCATACACAGCCTGATACATCCTGAGACTTATTTGGACAACGAAATGTCTTGTTAACAAACCAGACGTATACAGCCGATGCCAGATTCATCGGGATTTAACAATAGATATCTCGGGGGCTTGCTGATCGTCTGGCAGTGCAATTCCTAATCTCCGCTCCGGCACTTAGTAATCTAATTTTAAGGCAAGGTCTGATGACGCTATGGTCTTCACATAACCTACCTCATAGAGCACTAAGAATGCCCTTCCACCGATCAAAGTTATGTTGCTTGTAACGCTTCCTGTCAGTTTCGTTAGCCTGGAATGATGGTTGCACAGCCCGATACCCTTACACTGTACTGCGGACCATAATGCAAACAGACGAATCCTCCAGAAAAAGAGCTACACGAGGCTCATGTTGGTCCTGCTGAGAAGGATTTTGAAAACTATCAAAGCTTTCTGCGTCTATCGAGTTCTTCAACTGAAATGAATCCAAAATTTAGTTCACTGCGACACGTCTCGATCGAAGCTCTTCGCCCTCCTTACCTTTCGACCTTTCTTCTCAAGGCGCTGATTCATTGACTTACGTGATCGGTACACTCATCGATCATCAAAACGCCTTTTCGATAAAACCCGAAATCATGGAACCATTGAAAGGTTACCAAACCTCGGAAAGTGATATTGTAAAGACCGTCGATCACCAATGTATGTCCACGACTGCTCCCGAGTCACATGAACATCTCCAGAACTTCGACACATCATCGCAACGGCCTGAACAAAAAAAACGATCGAAAGATTCGCAAGCCTCGAGGCCGAGAAAAGCCAAGCTTAGAGAGTCAGATCTAGAGACTGCAACATCGACCAAAGATGCATCTTCTTGTCTATCTACTTCTATTCAACCGACGCTTGCTCCATCACCTTCTTTTGACACCAAAGGTTCATCAAAGCCTAGTATAGTCGATTCAGATGTAAAAATTATACGATCACGGAAAAGTAATCCTTCAAATCAAGCTGGGGCATCCGAGTCCGCACCGAAATGCGCCATTGGTAATGAAAACTTCCAAAATTCTACCAACAGACGCCTATTCGCGTCTCATGCCATGACGAAACTACCAGACCTATCTAAAACTGCTACCTCATCACTACCAAAAACACATCGACACTCGCCCCAGCGAAGGGAAACTCTGTCTGCAACTCGCCCAAATCTATTGGATCCAAATTTCAGTAATAAAAAACAACCTGGCGCTGTTTTACCTGATAATTCTTCATCAATACCAGTCCCGCCAATGTCCATACCATCCTATCTACAGTTAGAGCTATCATCGCCCGGGCTATCGCCTTTTATAATTAACAGGCCCTCTAGCGAATTCCCTTACGAACACACATCAGTCAAGTTCCAACGATTGATTAACTTTGTGACACTACCTCTACAATTAGAGCAAGTTCTATTTTTTGGGTCAATTGCCTGCTTAGATGCATGGCTCCATACATTTACGATTCTTCCTATTCGATTTTTAAAAGCAACAGGGATTTTGGCCAGATGGTGGGGTCATATACTTTCCAAAGAGTTACGATTTATCCTAAAGTTTATATATCATGGGACCGGGAGGATGTGGCATCGCCGCAACGAAAATCCTAGGCTGCCAGTCCAGCCCGAAATTGAAACTCATGATGCACCACCAACAGTATTATTGAATCCCCCGAAATCACCACCGCAGCCTCAGTTGAGGCACGCAGCCGTAGTAACTAGAGGGCAAGAAGTCTCAGGGAAAAATTCGAAAGCTGATGTTGAACGTCGATCCAGGCAAGGATGGGCAGCAAGGTATCACACAAAAATACCACAGCCTGTGCCGCTATCCTCTCATAATAAGGCAGACTTAATCCAGGGCACCATCATAATCTTAAGCTGCGCAATATTAATGAAACTTGATGCTAGTCGTATGTATCATTACATTCGTGGTCAAGCAGCCATCAAGCTCTATGTTATATTTAATGTTCTTGAGGTAGGATTATTAGGGCGTACAAAGAATCTCAGCTAAAAATTCTAGGTTGGAGACAAGCTTCTTGCGGCTCTTGGACAAGATATCTTTGAGTGTCTCTTTTCTGACGAGGCATCTCAGCCAACAGTGAATGGCCGCATCCGAACTTTTAGATCAACATGGTTGTTCGTTATAGCATTAATCTACAATGTTGGACACGCTGCCGCGCTGTTTTTCCAAGTTATCACCTTGAACGTCGCCGTGAATTCTTATTCCAACGCTCTCTTCACTCTTTTGATGTCAAACCAATTTGTAGAGATTAAATCAACTGTATTTAAGAAGATTGAGAAAGATAATCTCTTCCAGCTCACTTGTGCCGATGTAGTTGAGCGATTTCAGCTTTGGCTTATTCTCCTCATCATTGCTCTTCGGAATATTGTAGAAATGGGCGGATTGAGCATTCCAAACGGCGGCGGAGAAAGTGAGAGAGATTTCTTACAAAAGGTAAGCGTCCCTCTTCGTAGCAACTCTGTCTTACCACACAGCTTTAAGATATTTCCTACTTGGTCAGGGGAGATCCTATCACCTTTTTTCCTAGTTTTAGGCAGCGAAATGTTCGTGGATTGGATCAAACACTCGTACATTTCCAAGTTCAATAATGTCAAGCCAGCGATCTACGGCCGATATCTGGATATTTTAGCCAAAGATTATTACACGAATGTAAGTTTCATGTCAGCTTTCAGCGCGAGCAGAGTAGAGTTAATACGATGTAAGGCCTTTGTGAACCAGAATCTTGTAAAGCGCCTCGGCCTACCCGTCATGCCTCTTGCGTGCCTCTTCATTCGCTCCTCGATGCAGACTTATCATATGTTTTTGGCTACGCAAGTACCATCTGCCATACCATCGCGTGCTGCTACCGATTCAGCCATCCATTCGCCAGCTACGACAGCTGCTCTACAACGATTCGATAACATAATTCGCACTGCCCTTGGCCGCTCAGCTCTCGGTGTCCCACATCCGACGGCTACCAACCCTTGGTACTTACCGAGCCCCGACGACGTGATCGCTGCGCTCACTATGGTCATCTTCTTCCTCGGCGCCTTTTTCATGCTTCTTGGATGTAAACTGGTGCTTGGAATCATTTTATTGCGCTTCTCCCGTCATCGCTATCGCAGCATGAAGATCCGCGAGAGTGCACACTATGATACTGATGGCCGGCGTGCGGGTGTTTGGGGTATGACTGAAGTAGATGAAGATAAAAAGCGCTGGATATACTACGATGAGCCTGAGTATCTCGAGAAACTCAAGGATCGGCAAAAGGTGGGCAAGGAAAGGGGTGCATCAACGCAGGATTTTGGGAAAATCAATCGCTACGATATGTTGAAACGGATTTGGTAGGTCAGACCAAGAAAGCAAAAGAATGGTTTTAGTCTTATTACTTAAATTGTTCCTGAACACTCTTGAGGATCTGGCAGGCGCATGTAATAGCGAGACGGGATGCAACCTGTCATTGGGAAGATTCAAGAGCTGTAACCGGATTGCTCTCTCCACCCGAATCCTATCCCACCACTTTCTATTTATCCATGCTAACAAGTGCTTACCCGCTAGCGCAATTACAAGAGCTACGCCTCTGTTACCAAATCTCGTTCGGAGGGCTTGATTGCTACAGAAGCTGAGCTAGGTTTATCATGACAGCTAACGCCGCTCAGGCAACTTATCAGCACTATCATGATCAAAATAATAACGGAATTCAGTTTCAGGCCTAGCCAAATGCAAACTGGGTAGAGCGTTTACTTCCGGGGGATCCGCCCCAAATTTGATACAATTGCTCAGTCAAAAGCACTGAATTAGGGAGCTCATACTCCAATTAAGGCTCAAACTAAGAGAATATGGATGCGATAGATTTGGTGTATGTTGCTTGTTCTAAGGGTCGAAAACAGTTTGCGAAGAGTACCCATCGATTTATAATACACCAATTACCTGTATGCTTAAAGCTGCAAATAAATGTTGGAAAGCGATTTTATGTGCAGATACCTTGGACTGATCGTGCAAGAGTGTGGGAAGTGAAACTGAAGTGATTTTAAGGAGCGTGTAGATCCTTCCCAAAGCTACGCAGCGCTTAGGGGGGTGGAAAGATTGAGGGAATGAGTACTCCTGTGCGTAAATAATTTTATGGCATATTTTTTTAGTTTCCTGCCTTCGTTCCCCGAGCTGATGGTTTTTTGGCTACTCTAATGGAATGCCCTCGTATTCTGCAAAGCCTAGGGCGAGATTCATATTTTCTGCAATGAATTAGATGAGTTGCCGAAGCAGAAGGGAACTTACGTAAACACTGAGTAGCAGCTCCCTTGAGAAGGTTATCAATTGTGACACATACCACTACCCGCTTCCCCGAACTGTGCACTGCAAACCCGCCAATCTCAACCCCGTGCTTACCAGAAATAGCTTTGACACTAGGACTCTCGCCAATAACCTTGACAAGGCGCTCACCGGCATAGCGTTCTTGGTACAACTGTCGAATATCTCGGCTAGTCATAGTATTGCGGAGAGGGATGGAAATACTATGATGTATACCTTGGAACCAGGCAGCAACGTGTGGTATGAAGGCTACAGAGGTATTGAGATGTGCACTGATCTCGCGTTCGTGGATGTGATCAGTTAATGAATAGGGAATAATGTTTTGAGCCAAGTTTTCGACGTCATTTTGGGGCGAAGGTTTAGTCCCGGCACCTGAGTAGCCCGAAACGCCAAAAATAGTAGGTTGGCCTTCTAGAAATGGGACCAGTGGTGCAATGCCGATTTGGGCAGCAGTTGCGTAGCATCCGGGGTTTGCAATTCGGACGGCACGGGCGATTTCGGCGCGATTAACTAATTCTGGGAGACCATAAGTCCAATGATTGTCAAAACGGAAGTCTGCTGAAAGGTCGATGATGAGACTTTTCTTTTGTGCTTCGTTAACTGCATCGATAAAAGGTTTACAGACGCCATTTGGAAGAGCCATGACCCAACAATCTATTTCTCCACTTTCTTCCATGCGTCGCACGTCATCGGCACTTAGATTTTCGTAGGTGATCTCTCGCTTAGTGTAACCGTTTAATCGTTGACCCGAAAGCTCACGAGATGAGACGTGACAGAGGTCCATGTGAGGGTGTGTATTTAACAGAGTAGTCAAAGCCTGTCCAGTATATCCACGAGCGCCAATCAATGCTACTTTGGCGGGTCGAGTATTCGAAGAATTTCTTCTTCCAAATGGGGGATTCGGATTAGTAGTAGTAACAAGCCCATGTACACTTGATGGAGTATTTTGAGTTTTCGGAAAGGTTTTTTGAGCTGCTGTCGCATAGTTTCGCTTCTGTTCACCTGAAGATATTGGGGAAGAAAGCGTAGAATCTTTCGCTTTTTCAACGGTCTCAAGAGTAGGAAGATTTACGTTCAAATCATTAAACATCGCACGGCCATGCTTGGAAAACTCCGCCATGAGATCCTTAACCTCATTTGCCGTTTCAATGCCGTACCAGAACATTACGTGCCCATCCCACGACATACTTCCTTCTGCCTGATTAAAAAACCAAGTTAGATTTTCATCATCCTCACTGACAGTCCAGACTAGCTTGGTGTAGTCTTTTTTTATTGCAGCAAAGATGTTGTCAGCAATGTTCGTTAACCACCCAGCTTTTGTTACAGTGAAGATACCTAGGTTTGCAAGTGTAGAATTGTAGGTAAGAGGTGATACAATGGCAAGAGCGTCCATTTGCTCGTCAAAGAAAGCCTTGAACTTTTTTTGTCCAAGACTGTCAACATACTTTCCGACTATTACTTTGGCATCAAGGCCTTGACAATCTCTGACTAGTACTTCCTTAATTTTTTCAATATCTTCAAAATCCGATAATTTGTCAGCGGTTATCAGCTTATTACCTCTTCGTATGAGAGTTCCTGCGCCGTTGTCCGTAAAGAGCTCCCTTTGGAGATCTTCTGGGTGAATGATGGCAACGCTTGAGCTTTTTGGTAGCTGATCGAGCAACTGCTTTGATTCTTTGATTTTTAAGCGTGTTCCGTAGCGGCACCACCACTGTGACATTAGGTGATCGTATTCCTCGTCGAGATTGATTGCCGAAATCTTCTCCTTCGTATCTGCATTGAAGAGACCGCCCTTCTCTGATAAGTATACAATCTTCAGTGGTTGAATCTCTCGTGCGAGCTCGCCTGCCGCAACATCTGCATTGACGTTCAAAACCTGACCATCGGAGGTCTCAGCCATGGAGGTCAATATTGGCAAACAATTGGCATTTATAGCGGCTTCAATCGGTGCCTTATTGACACTAGTAATTTTGCCCACAAGCTTATACTTCTCTTTATCAAGGTAATCGGCACAGAAGACACCGGCCGTTATTGGGCGAGCTCGAACACCCATCTCTTCTAATCTCTCCACAAGCTTGAGATTTTCCTCTAGAAACAGCTTTCGCGCCACAGCCAGTGTCTTTCCATCGGTAACTCTAATTCCCTCTTCGAACTGCGACTCCACTCCAGCATCCTCTAAAAGCTTGTTGAGTTGTGGTCCAGCACCATGGACAACTATGGGAAAGAGACCCACATGGTTTAGAAATGCAAGAGCCGAGGTAAGTGGTTCGAGATGTTCTGTGAGGATGGCTCCACCAACCTTTATCACGGCAAACTTCTGTGACGAAACCGAACTAAAGTGTGATAGATATTGTTGGACCTCTCGCTTGGATCCAATGTTACTGAGTAATTGGACAACAGCTGAACGGGTGGAGTTGCTGTCTGAGAGGGATGAGTATCCTTGTTTTCTATACCTCGGGCTGACGGTTAGGGATCTGGGGCTGAAGCAAGAGGAGATTGAGGAAAAACGGAGAGCTCTCGCGTGAGAATTTCGGACGATGCTATTCACAGAGCGGACCACTAACATGGTGATTGTGTTAGTTTGATGAGTTTTTCTTCGGCAGGAATGAACTAGATGAGATGAATTATTTTTGCGATAGTGATCAGGTGTGACAATTTTGTGACGTTCTCACACGAATCTTTGGAGAGTTGAGCCCAAAATATTTTCGGAGCGGATACTTCGAATGGGTTAATTCCTGATAGACGTTATATTCCTTGGAATTTTCTGAGGCGGAGTGCGCGCATGGCATGGCAGATCCAAAGTCGCACCCTCCTAATAGTCCGTGCGTCAGATTGATCCTTTCCAAAAAAATTATTAGTGAGCTCAGCCTTCTAACTATGACACATGACTAGTGCTGTGGATCCCAGTTGATAGAAACCCGACCGTGCGCATTGTGCGCCGTTCATTTGTTCTTTTTTAAAAATAATTTATATCATTTAATGTGTATCCAGCTATCTAGCTATGACACATGACCAATGCTGTGTGTACATATTGGATGACTCTTTTGAAGTTCGAAACACTCATACTCTGGATTTCATTTGAAAATACTACTATGAGGTATGCTTGCTTACACAAACAGTCGACCCTCCTCCGTAAGTACCCACCAAAGGGAAATTCAAAACCTTTGATTGTCAAAGCATGCCTTCGTCATCTATGTAAACTAGCGCTGCGAAAAAAGTGGTTGTGTTTTGCCGGATTTGAGCTAGCGATCTACTGTCTCAAGTGGGACATGTGTCCAAGCTATCCAGACTCTACTTGGCAGACCAGCCAAGACGATGTACCACCGCACCATCCAACCATGGCGGTGTTTACAGTGTCGCCTGCACTCTCGCAACCGAAGCCTTGGCACGCACAAAGCTAAATTTGTAAAAACTTGTTGTGTTATCCATGCAACTTACCATAGTACATGCTTTAGGTCACGTCATAGCAGATGCACGTGACTGTGAAACTAAACCGCGGGGTGTTTAGTGTGTAATGCATGTTTTTTTATTTTATTTTTTTTATTTTATTAAAGTCCTAAGCTAAAGCTCTAGGTCCACTACAGGTACAAGACTGGTGGAGCCGGCGGGGATCACTGCTTACAGGCCCAACTCATTCCAACCGCTGGACTTGCTACAGAAATAGTAGGAAGTAAATTACGACGCGGACACCACCTACTCCAACTCCTAGATCAAAAATCAATCCTTTTCCCTAAATCCAAATAGCTACAATCTTTCCTCAGAGAAACGACACTTCTCGCCTCGTTCCCTTTCTTGTCATGTGTTGTGGCAATGACTAGTTAATCTGATCCCCGCTGAGAGCAGTGGATGAGTGAGCAGGTCGTCTATCAAAACAGCCGGTTTCCTGCGCAAATATTTTGAAGCTTTCGTGGCACTTGGGCCCGAGAAGCTTTTTGACAAAGTCAGCGTGGGACATTGACTTTCTGAGCCTACGCGTGTGTTGTGCGTGGCGGCTACAGTGGATGAAGTGGGTTGGAGTAGTTTCCTTCCCGCAAGAGCAC